GCCACGTCCCCCTCCCGAGCTCGGCCCCGGGAAGTGCAGCTGCAGTTCACAAGTTGGAAATAGTTGGGTTTTCCGAACGGGGAAGGGAGGGAGGGAGGGAAGGACCGGCCAAGGGGAGCTGAAGAGCCTGGTGGCTGGGGAGGGGAGGCAGGGTGGCGGGAGCCCAGGGGAAGGGAGGGAGAGGGGGGGGTGCTGTGTGTAAAGTTGAGAAACTGGTTTTTCGTATTTTAAACAGCACCTCTCGCATGCCAGTGTGGTGACCGCCATCTCCCATTATTGTTCCCAAGCTCATTTCATTTTGAAGATCAATGAGTGTTTTCTCTGGGTTTTCAGGACACAGGCAAGAATAATAGATCATTGAACTTTAGGATGCCGGTTAACTTCCTAGACAAACACTCTCCACTTTGGTCTCACTAATCTGCCCTTGATCAGCAATTTAAATGCTAAAGCTTTGTTCCTCCAAAAAAAAAAAAAAAAGGGAGGGGGGGTCCAGATAATACTCGAGAAGGCACGGTGTAGGGATGCACGAGTTAAATTCGAGCCAGTCCTGCTGTCACCCCAAACTGCTTTTCAACATTCCCCCTACCCACTCTTTCTAATGAAATGCCACAAGAGAAGCAACTGGGGTATAATATAGGAATCAATTTATAAAGCTTAGCCTAAACCGATTAATTTGTTGCCTCCAATCCTGAGTCCAATAAAGTCCTAGTGTTCCTCCAGTCACTTATTCTATAAAAAGATCAAGTTATTTACTGCCAATTAAGCAGCTTGTTTTGTCTTTGTCCTCAGCAAGCCGAGAGTGTGGGCTGTCCCCGAGCTATCTGCTCAAGACATTCAGCTGATGCCTCAGAAGAGAGAGAGAGGGCGAACTTTGCCTGTCCCCAGCCCAACTTGGCTGCTGTAGAAGAGCGAGGGAGAGGGAACGAAACAAGGACTGGGATTCCTTAAATAGGCTTATTTTAAACACATTTCCTCCGAAAGAGTCCCGGAACGTGTGTCCAGTGACCGCACAATAAACCAGAATAAGAACTGCACCAATTAAGCTGTAACAAAACCCTGAGACTTTGGAAACAGGACCACTCTAAAACCCATTAGCATTGCATTTATCCGAATGCATCATACCTTTATGTAAATTGATTTATCTGATGCATTTACTCGAGGAATTGCTTTTTGTTACAATTTCAGCCCTAACCCAAATGAATCTGCATTTCCTGCTCCGGGTCTTTAAACTGCCCCCCCCTCCCGTTTTAATCGCTCCGAATTCCTTTTTAAAAGAGGAAAGAGGGAGGAGATTCCAAGCTGTTCCCCGCCCCCATCTTTCGTGAGAGGTAAATATATATGTATATTTTTTTGAAAAGGAAACATTACACTGAGAAAAGCATCCAGTAACCCCATTAGCTAAAGCTCTTAAGGACAAGCAATACCTTAATGCTGATTAAATCTAAAAGAGATGAATCAAGAGGACTGACCAGAAACTGACTCCCCTGATAACTAAGGACGGGCCCTCATCAAGTTTCATTTAGAGTTGGAAAAAAAAAAAGAAAGCTTTTAAGTTAAATAGGCTTATACTCTAGTAATTACATAGCCAAGCAATTTAGGTCCTGGGATAGTCAGTGAAATAGAAAGCAGAACTGGCAGCTAGAGGCAAAATTTGCCCCCCTTTTTAACAACGTCTCTGGTGTTTTTTTAATGGAGACCAAGGGAGGGACAAACGTAGCGCTGGCAATTTGTAGTACAAAAATGGATGCTTAATTCATGTCTTGATTTTAATTAGGTGATTCACCGGATTTCTCCTGGATTGGAACAAAAGACTTATAAGCCAAGAGGATTTTTTTTTATTTTTTTTTAAGGAACCAGCAAATACCGAACCCTGCTCACTAAGATCCTTTCTGCCACTGTTTCAAAAAATCATGTTTACGGGAGGGGGGGTCGTGACGATCTCCCCCCCCCACCCCCCAAGCTACATACTACTTCTCACACTTAAATCCTGATCCAAAGCCACCCCGGCCTTTTCCCTTAGGAACTGGCGATGTCCCCACCCCCTTCCAGGGTCCCCAGCAGCCCGGTCTCCAAGAACCCTTTTGTAAGCAAGAACCGCTACAAAGCCGGCGGCCCCGGGGCTGCCCTCCGCGCCAGCTCGCAGGCCGGCCTCGGTAGTTTCAGACTCGCGCATTATCTAAGGCGACGTATTGTTTACTTGCAATTTGGGACGGTCAAGGGAAGGAAGCCACCGCACACAGCCCCAGCCTCAACCAGGCCCCCCTTCCCGCTCGCGCCCACCCACCCACCCCCACCCCGCCCCGACCCAACCTTCCCAGCCCGAGCCACCCCCTTACCTGCTTCTCCCCTATATTGCAATATTGCGAGAGGCGGTGGCGGCGAAAGGCGAGCGAGCGAAGCCGCTCGGCTTCCAGGGAAGGGGCGCCTCGGCTGGCGGCGCTGGAGGGAGGGAGGGAGTTCTCGCAGAAGCAGGAAAGGGGAGGAGGGGGCTGAGGGCTGCTTTTCCCCCCCTCTCCGATTATTTTTTTTTTTAATCGCGTAGCTCTCGGGCAGTCGGGGGAGGGGGGCGTGTAAGTGGCAGGCGGCCCGGAGCTGGAGCGTCAGTCTCAGTCCCCGATCTCTCCTCCGCCTCCGGCTGCGCGCGAGCAGCTGCAGGAGCCCTCGGCCCGCGCGGCGCGGCTTCGAGCGCGGCGCAGCGGCAGCAACTGCTGCAATCGCTGCTGCAAGTTTGGCAATGTGGCTTCACTTTGTA